AAAAATTTTCAGTGCCCCCACTACCAACTGCCCCTCCTTCAAATTTGCTCTGGATCCGCCCCTGTTGGTACTCTAATTCGATTAAAAGTGGTTCAGAAATCTTGAGCTAGATTCTTTATAAAAGAACGTGCAATGAATATTCGTGTAATTTGAATTACAGCAATCCTTCATGTTTGGTGACTGGGCACCAGCCTAAAGAAAGTTTTCGGAAATTTTCGGAATGGGTCAATATCTAATAATGTTATCGTGTAACAGGGCCTAAAATAAGAAATTTTTACAGATCCATATTTTTTATAAAAACTGGGCTTGGTACTTTGCTGGGATTGGCGTTATGGGGGTGGTAAATATAGAAACTGCCATCATAGTGCAAATAGCATGTCCTAATTGGGCAAATTCCTAAATGAATGAAGTATAAGTAGCAAAAGCTGATTCTTTACATTATATGGATTGGGTTAATAAGAAGATTAGCTACATATAGCGATGTCTTAATATGTGAGCAAAAAGTTATCGAAAAGAAACTCTTTTACATGGTTTGTTCGGATCTCTGTCAAAGTTATTTTTTTCCTTTCATCTTCAAAAACTCCCTTAAATCAGCCTCGCTTTCCAGACTTTGGTATTTTTTGGTTTTCTGGAGCCATATCTTTGCAGCTTTTCTCGGAACTCGAAACTTGCGAGATCAAACATATTAATTGCAATATTTATCTATTTGATAAGTTTTCTGGGGCTATGCTGCTTTCCCCACCTGCTTCTTGTTGTTGGTGGAAATCAGCCTCTCTGCTTCGACAGAATTAGGGATTGCTGCGATGTCCAGGACAAAAGCTGGGTGAAGCTTTCTTAAGTCTTGTTTACTTATGGAAAGTTCTTAACTGCATTCAGCCCATCAAGTTCTTCGCCATCAAATATGTTCTTCAAAAAGTTTTGATACTTTAAATGAAAACCTCGTTACAGATAGCAAATAAACTCTTCTCTCACTGATGTACAAATTGTGCTTGTTTCTTCTTATTCTCTTTTCGCCCAGTTTGAAAGCCTGATCTTTACCCCCATCTTGTTTTCAATTTTTCTCAATTTTTGAATTACGCCAAATTTGTCATAAGATTGTGCTAGATTTGCAAAAATTATGCTAGATTTCAAATCAAGGCAACCCTGCTCGAGAAAGAGGCTAATGCATGCTCAGAATATCAAAAGTGGCCAGAGTTGCAATTTGGTCTTTTTACAACCCAGTGTACTCATTCTTCATTGACAAAAAGGCAATTTAGATCCATGGTTTGATGGCCAATTTCTCTATTTTGGCAGTTTCTCAAAACCCTTTGGCCGTCATATATTGATTTGGCCAAAGAAGCAAAATTTGGCTGAATTCTGGCAGCATGTTGCAAAAAACAACGAAAACGCAAAGGAAACAAAAATTTTTGCACAGATAGTATTCAAAAAATTATTTCAATTTTTCAAGATAGTTATTTCAAAATTGCAAATGATGAATGATGAAACAAAGCAAAAGATAACAGACAGTTTTAGATCAAAGCAAGTGAAAACTTTTTTAACCTACAAAGCAAATTTTGATTACGGTATCACTCCCAATGATTAGCAAAAATTTAGCTTTTTAGTATACTGCGTTTAGTTGGCTGCATTTGGCTGCCAACCACAAAATATGTGGCTTCCAACCATTCAAAACAACTGGCAATATTCTGAAGGTGGAAAGTCACAATTTACCCCTAAATGAAACCACAGATGCTGGTGTAAAGTGTTTCCATTTGGTAACGATAGACAATGGATCAATGGAAACAATATTTCTTTAAATAATATCAGAATTATGCCAGAGTTATGCTAGATTCCAAATTATGCTAGATTTTATGCTAAATGACGATTTTTGGCCAATGTAATGTTAATATTACGCTAGATCAGGTCACACTGGCACCAGCCCACAAGGGAGTGGCTGCAACGGGACTAGCAGGCTTGCCCCTAAATTTTTTACGACCACGCCCTTTGAAACACCGGAAACCACTCCTTTCAGAAAATATTTGCTTTTTTCTGTCCTTATTCATAAACATAACGCATAAAAGTTGAGGAGGATTATAGGCCCTGTTATGCAACATTCCCAATTGAATGTTCCTCCCAGCTACCACCAAGAGGCTTATCATCGTTCAGCTACTGTAGCCTTGAGAGGAATCTTTCAGATGCTTCTCCAATTTAAAACACCTTAGTTGAAATGGTTTATAACTTTTTTTGAAATCTTCTGAAAGATATCACATAAAAACCCCAAAATACATTACGGGCAGGAAATCATAATCTCGGGCTTGGTCTTAACGCTCAGTGTCTTTTTTGAAGCAAGTCATAAAAGCAAACTTAATTGAGATGATGTCTTGAAGTTAAAGCTGTATACAGAGTCCATCTTACTTCAAAATAGCACACAACAATATCGTAAAACGCAATTGATTTTTCTCCGCATGTACTGAAGCTTCGAGCTCTGAAGTTTCTTGATTCTTCTTTATTATTCATAGCTTATTTCTTATTGCTTTCTTGGGCATTCACTTCGAATTGAACAAATTCTTTCTTAGGCGTTTCGATTGGTATTCATGCTGCACTTTTAAGAACATGTATTATTAACAAATCCACGCTTTCTACAATTACAGGTCCACAATTTTAATTACAACTCCACAAAGTGAGTCAAATCCACGCTTATTTTAGGCCTGTCGTGTAAAATATCTACTTTCATCAATTTTTTTGCTTTTATCACAAAACAAGCATTCGACCTGGAATCTGCTGCACTATCAGAGATTTTGAAAATAAAAATAGCCTCGTGCCGAGAACAAAGACAACAATCACAAGAAAATAGGGTTTACTAGCATTTCGCCCTGGTTTATGGTTTTTCATCAAAGCAAAAGTAAACGTACTTTTCTCAGTCTACTTGAGCAAGTATTCTACTGGAGTCTGTCGAACAGTTTGCCTTTCTGTTTCAGTGTTCTTTGAATCATTTACATTTTCGAGTTCTCTTCAATACCAAATAAACAGGGAGGAAGTGAGAATGATCGGGGGTTTTGAGCCAATGAAATGCTCATTTCTTTTCTCGCATGAGCATCTGACTCGGCATATGAAGGTCAAAAAATTAGCTTATGTAAGTACATTTGTTTCGATGGAATTATTCAAATATTATATCCATAACCATTATATTTTTCAAAAATTGATGAAATTAGGGTCGGATTTATATTGGGGAGGCTGGAAATTTTTTTCACAAATTTGAAGGGGGTGGGGGGAGCTTGGGGAATGACGTTCATTTGTGACGCAGTCTTCCTGGAGCCACTGATCAGTGACTGGAGCAGCAACACAACAACACAACGACAACCACGGTAATCAAAATGGTCTCTATGGCGGACAGTGCAGGCAGAAGCTGTTAGCCAGATATTCCTTTTCGCAATGACTGACAGAAGTAAAGGATCAGGTATATTTCCTTTCTAATACATTTGACATCCTTTCCTTTTATAAAGATAAGATTTTTTGTCACTATAGTAAGTAAAAATGTTTGTGTGGATGGCATGGGGAGAACATGCCCCCTACCGCCAGATTTCCCTCCTTGGTAATTCTGACATGTTCTATGTACCAGGCATTTTGCTCAAATATATTATGCCCCAGCTACTAAGTTACCATTTCATGTAAGAACTTGATGAGGGTGAACGTAATATGCGATAAAATCTAGCACTAGTAGATTAGGCTCTCTGATTAGGTTTAGGGGTTCCAACGCTTTCTGGCCCCAACAGAAACCAACCTTGGTGGACTTTATATATAGGTCACATAAACATTTCTCAAAAATTTGTATGCGGTCTTAAATTGAATAGTTTGTATATTTGCGTCAAAATTAAGTGTAACAGGTAGTGTGACTAGTGGCTACGCGGCCTCAACTGAATTATTCTGTACGGTATGATGTCGCCAATTATAGGTCCAAAAATTGTTGACAACTCATTCTTCAATATATCAAGCAGAAATTAAAAGGTAAGATGCAGAAACATTGCTCAAGATCAATTCTTTGTGGCTTCAATAAAAATTTCTTATGTAATATAGAAAATGGCTTTGAAAAAAGCAAACATTTAGTAAACTAAAGCTTTTCGTCTGACACTCTTAAGATTTTGAAATGTCAGAACATAGATCAAAAAATCTACGCTAGGAAATATATCTAGCCAGTTGTGGATAGAAATAGGCCAATCAGTGCCACTTGCCTATTGAGAATGTTACCAATGGAGTCCTAAAACAAACCAGCCAATGTTCAGTTGATTGATGTCTCTCCCTCTACCATAAAAGCCAGGTACACTTGCTGATGATGTTTATATTTTGACAGACTTGATTCAAAGATTTATATACCTGGCCAGACAAAAAACAAATGTCAGAAGCAGTTTTTCTTATAAATGATTTCAGGAGGCAGCTTTGTTATGGAAAACCACATTACTTACTTTCTAGTTTTAGCTTGATTTCATTGTTCACCACAATAGCCAAATGACAAAAACGAACTGTGTTATTAAAGTATAGAAAATGTGTTTATGCTGGGTCTAATTGACATCGCAATATATCGCCAAGGAGGCACATTGGATGCAGATGCAGAAACATTGCTCAAGATCAATTCTTTGTGGCTTCAATAAAAATTTCTTATGTACTATATATAGAAAATGGCTTTGAAAAAAGCAAACATTTAGTAAACTAAAGCTTTTCGTCTGACACTCTTAAGATTTTGAAATGTCAGAACATAGATCAAAAAATCTACGCTAGGAAATATATCTAGCCAGTTGTGGATAGAAATAGGCCAATCAGTGCCACTTGCCTATTGAGAATGTTACCAATGGAGTCCTAAAACTAACCAGCCAATGTTCAGTTGATTGATGTCTCTCCCTCTACCATAAAAGCCAGGTACACTTGCTGATGATGTTTATATTTTGACAGACTTGATTCAAAGATTTATATACCTGGCCAGACAAAAAACAAATGTCAGAAGCAGTTTTTCTTATAAATGATTTCAGGAGGCAGCTTTGTTATGGAAAACCACATTACTTACTTTCTAGTTTTAGCTTGATTTCATTGTTCACCACAATAGCCAAATGACAAAAACGAACTGTGTTATTAAAGTATAGAAAATGTGTTTATGCTGGGTCTAATTGACATCGCAATATATCGCCAGGGAGGCACATTGGATAGGGGGTCATCCATAAAGTATGTATGCAGTTTGAGAGCAACTTTTTGACCCCCCTCCCCCCTTGTACGCACATGTATGCTTTCTATATACCCTCCCTTTGGCGTACACTGCGTATGCTTATATCTTTTTTACCCCCCTCCCCGTTTCAAGGTATAATGCAATTAATTGAGAGTTTCCGGGAAAATTCAGGGATTTGTCCATATTGACCATTCCTTGTTTAAATATATGCTAATACAGATGTCTAATTTATGTAATAATGTAATCATGCATTAGAGGCTTTTGTCTTTAAGTCCAAAACCTGAGCATTGTAAGAATTCTTGTTTGCCTTTACTTTGTTCCACAGCTCTTGGGCTTTTTTAAACTGCTTTTATTTTGCAAGCATGGGGTAGGCATTTCTGACAACATCCACAAAATTGTTGTACTTTCACTGCCCATCCGCTGCCCATCCGCTGCTCATCTGCTCCCTCATCCATGATTTTTGCAATTGCACCAAACAATAAACTCTATTCCAATTATAATCGTGCGATGATTGCATTCTTTGGAATGCGACAGACATTCCAATCAGTAAAGTCAAATGACTTTTACCATTTTTAATTTCATTTATCAAAAATATTTACTGCCACTAGTGCAGAAAGCGGTAAGATGTTTTTTTAATTCCACACTGATGATCATCGCTGTTTTCAGAGGTGAAATGATGCACAATGAATGAGCAAGCTTGAAAGGCTCAAATTTCACGTTTTAGGAATTTCTTAAGCCTACATACTAAATACCCATTGCACCCCCTTCCCCCCTTGTAGGCAAGCATAAGATTTTTGGTCAACTCCCCCTCCTCCTGAGTGCATATGTACTTTATGGATGACCCCTAGTGCATAATCGAGCTGAACTGAATTTTAGCCTTTGGAAAGGTACACAGATCTTTGTGGGCAGTATTTGACAGATTTTTTCCCCTTGCTGACCAAAGTTTGCATTCTTTAGCACCCTTTTTTGGGTTGTTTTGTAATTTTAATGTAAAAAATATTACTAATTAGAATAAATCTAATTTAGATTTATATTATTATTTCAACTGCAGCAAGAGTGAAAGATCGAGAAGCAAAGAGGGTTATTGATGTTGAAACAAGGAAGAAGAGACAAAAAAGACAGTTGGATTCATTAGAAAAAGACAATTTTCATGATGATCCGCATGCTCATTTAAATAATGCCCTTTTTGCAAAAGCTAAAATTCCTGCGTTTGAAGACAGTATGGAAGGTAAACTTTTTTTGTGAGCAAGCACATTCTTAAGAAAAAATATAATAAGCTTACAGCATTATTGAGTTTGAGCCCTCCCTGTAATTTTGCATATCTGCAGCACCTAAGATTGCCCAGAACAAGTATTTTTGTAGCCTCAAAATATGTTTTTTCCTGAGTATAGTTCACAATTATTGTTTATGAAAATTTATTTTCTTAAATTTACAAGACAAAATTTTAGTTGAAAGGAATGGATGGTTTAGAAGAATTTTTCTACCACTTACATTTAAGTCACAGCTCTCTTACTCAAGAAATGTCGCTAGACTTTCAAGAAAGAGGCAGAAGATTATTTGTAAATTAGCGCCTTTTTGCAAAATTATTTCCTGCATATAAAGCAGCTAGGAAAACATAATTATTTTGTGGTCTAGCATAGACCATTAAAAATGACAAATATATTAAATTATTTTTCAATGATTGCTTTATTTAGAAGGAATTAATAATGATGTCAACCCCAGAGCAAGGATGATATCATTGTCATAGTTTTTCCAGATGATATTTCCATTCATCTGAGTATGGCTTTTGCATGTAAATTCTTGGTCTGGGCTGCTGTAAATCATGAAATGGTTGTGTTTAGTATTTATTGTAGGTAATGGATAATTGCCATGAACACAGTTATAGCATGCTACTTCATTTCCCAAGCTATTTACAATCTGCATACAGGGTACAAAAGACTCATTTTGCTTAAAGCAATGTTCGTATTTCTTTTCTCAGTTAAGAAGAAAAAAAAGACAAGAGTAGGGGATATATTCAAACAGGTAAAGTATGCTTAAACAAGCAGCTACAGACAGAAAAGGTTTTCCTATATAAATATTGTGCTATTTCTAGGTTTAACAAAATTCATTGAGCTTTTTATACCAATCATAAATTTAGCTATCAAACAGTCAGTCATGAGGATGATTATATGACCCTTGCTAGGAGTAAAGGCTATAGAAGTGTTGAAACTTTCGTTTTTAGTTCTAAAGGCTTTGAGTACAAGGCGATGTAAATATGATGTGAACATTGCCTACACCAAATTATGGTATAAAACCTCTTGAAATATCTCAATTTTTGATGGTGGTAAGGTAACAATTGGAAACAACGTGGGTTAACATGGGCCTGCTTTATGAAAGAATTAATAATTTTCTCATTTTAGTGAAATTTTTGCTGCAAGAGACAAAGGGTCTTTAAAAACATGGGCTCTAAGGCAGTCTTGCCATTCACTGATTTTCTGCTTTTACAAAATCTATGAAATATTATATCTTGCTGGTATTTGTCTCCCGCTCCCTTATCCATAGATCATTTATGCGAAAAATATATAGTCAAGTGAAACCAAAAACCGTAAAGGGTAGATTGCAGTAAGATACTGAACTTTTTTTTGTAAAAGCTTTTTTTCAAATCGATGATTTCTGACAATACAAAATATAGTTAATTTCGGAAAAAGCCAATATACAATGGACCTATTATCTGAAGGGGTTGGACACAGCTACATTTTTCGTGAGCAATTTTTTATTACTGACAAAGACATTAAAGCAAGTTTAGATAACATTGAACTTTTCGTTTTCGAAAATTATGATTAAACATTTGGCGATTTTTAGTTTTTGCACTCGGTGTATTATGTATATCAACAAAGTGTACTTTTCTGTTTCAGAAAGCAAAAAGATCATTTGCCGCTCTTTTGGAAGAAGCAGTAAGTTTCGAGTTGTGCAAGGCAAAACAAGCTGTTCTAATACTTTTATGAAAGAAAATAGCTTTTAATCTCTCTATGATTGTATATGTTATAATTGATTAAACATATATTTGGAATTTTGCTTACCTTTAGCAGGGCCCACGCCACCGGGGGAGGGGGGTGGAGCCGTGGTGGCCATGCCCCTCACTTTTTTGCGAAGCAAGTAGTTTTGAAGCTGCAGTAAAAGTGGAAAAACCCTGACCCACTACTTTTGTTTCAAATTCGTGGCGTGGGCCCTGCTTCAGTGATAACCCAACGTTTATGCTATGAATAATACTGGTCGAAATGTATTTTAGCATGCTATGTTTTCGCTTTCCGTACTATCTTCAAATTTTGCAGTACAAAAGGCTTATTACGTTCTTCATGTTTGTACTTATTGCTCTAGATGATGTACATATAAAGCGGTGTTATCGTTTTGCTTATTTTTGTGAATTTTGTTTCGCACGAAGCGTCTCTTTTACATCTAAGGTACGATGTAACAGTTCAAATGATTCTTCAAGTCTGCCTTTGAAATTGGAATAGACTAGCCTGTATCACAGCAAATACTCGTTCTGAAGAATTATACTTCGCTTCATGATTAAACCTTTTGGAAAAGAGTATTTATCGATGAAATTGATGAACCACTCTCCTTGGATACAAACAACTTCTTAAATATTTTCTCAAGAGCTCTTAAAGTTCAACAAAGTAATAACAGACACCTCGAAACAACTGTGCATTGTTTTCTTGCTCGTAATTTTTCCGCTTTTATCTAAACCTTGTAGAAAAAGTTATCAGACAACGGACACTTAACTACAACGGACATCTTTCTACAATACAACTAACATCTTTCTACAATAGACACCTCTCTTCGATGGAAAACCCCTCCACATCGGACACCTCTCTACAACGGACACCTCTATGCAACACAACGAACACCTTTCTATCATAGACACCTCTCTACCACAGAAACCTCTTTTCAATGGACTCTCCTCTACAACGGACACTCTCAACAACGGACACCTCTATACAACGGACACCTCTATACAACGGACACCTCTATACAACGGACACCTCTATACAACGGACACCTCTATACAACAGACACCTCTATTCAACGGACACCTTTATACAACGGACACCTCTCAACAACGGACACCTCTATACAACGGACACCACTATACAACGGACACCTCTCAACAACGGACACCACTATGCAACGGACACCTCTCAACAACGGACACCTCTATACAACGGACACCTCTATACAACACAACGAACACCTTTCTATCATAAACACCTCTCTACCACAGAAACCTCTTTTCAATTGACTCTTCTCTACAACGGACACCTCTCAATAATAAAGCATCTCGACAGTGGACACTACTCTACAACGGACACCTTCCTACAATGAACATTTCTATTCGAAGGATACCTTATTAGAACGAACAGCAATTCCTGTCGCAAAGGCATCTGCTAGGAATATTTCATGCGATAAGCTCTTTATGTCGACAATTTCGGTACTAGATTCAGACTCAATTCAGGTTGGATAGAAGTTAAGATAAACTCATAAGTCACGTTTTCTGTGTACGCCAGCCCAGCTTTTTTATGGTTACTTGAGGTACTTCTTTTTAGGTGCTTCTACAATGCTAATGCATTTTTTGGCATTACTGTGCCTTCTTGATAGTAAAGCTACCCTGCTCTTTTCCAGCAACAAGAGCGCGAGGACGGAGTTGCAGATTACTTCAGTGCTGTTGTTTCTCCTTCACAATTCCCAGAACGACATTTCTGTGCAGTTTGTGGGTATCCTTTCATTTCAAAGACCGTTTTTAACAGTGTCGCGTTTCAATAGTGTTGTAAAATCTATTCGAGACATGGTAACTTTGTCAATGCCACTTATCCCATCAAATCTGATTTGTTTTCAGTTCTAAGCAGTATGACCTAGGCAAAAATGTCAGTGATCCATTTGCAAACTTAAGATCTTTCATAGGCCACCTCCCATTGAATCTTTAGCATGGCTAGCTAGTTCTTCACATTTAGAATTTTTCTTCGTGTTTTTCACACTATGTGGTCATAAGTGAAAATTCTAATTGTCTAGAAAATCTAAAAAGCGATTCACGACAATTTAAGCGAAATATGCTGTCTAATTTCGACATGCTTGAGTTACACTGCAAAAGCGAAAATCAACTGTTTTATTACCACCTGAAATTTATTTATTCCAAGTGACGCCTTCAAAGTGGAAATTTATAGTCTGATTGGTTTGCTAAATAGCAAGATATTATGCTTTTGGTAAAGGGGTGAAAAATATCTGTAAGCCTTTTCAAGAGAAACTAATTATGGCTCTTGATTGTGGTACTTTGTCGTTTTATTTTGTTGCTGCTCACTTTTTTATCATGTTATTTTTGCCACATTGTCTCATCAACCCAATCATCTCCCAGTTTCTATGTTGCTAGTTTAAAAACATGACACTACACAAAAATGTGACGTCTGTTGTATACAAATTGTCTGAATTATAAAAACCTTAATGGTACTTTGAGACATTTTTCAAGTTACACATGTGTGACATGTGGTACAAGATACTGCTCAGTCAAATGCCTGAAAACCCACCAAGACACCAGGTGAGCTCCTTTGAAATGCCTCAATCAAAAATGATTTAATCTTATTTTGCATCAATGGCATTAGTAAAGCCATGGCAGTGTTGATCCTCGCCTACGGTATCTGCGAAACAATTTTTTGTTTTCTTACTTTAAGCTTTTCTTTTTTCGGTCATAATCGTTAGATTAATCGTATTATATTTGTTATTGATACTTCAAATAAGAAAATGCAATTTTGGATAATCATTTCAGTTAATTCAAACAGGATGCTTTCTTTGCAACTGGTGAATTGTTATGGCATCTGAACGCCATCCTCACGTGTTCAAACACGTGGCACTCATAAAGACTGTTCATCAACAGTTTCTTTTTATAATTGACTTTATATTCTCTGTCATCTGTCCAATACCTGTATCTGTAATGAGAACATGATATTCGAAAGTGACAGTATATTGTTACTGTTATGAAGTCCCACTATTCATTTCTTTGAGCTGATTTTCGCTGCAAGAATATGATTTCCCTTATAACTGTACTTACTCGGAGCTCTCTGAGGGATGCAAGTACAACTAAGTATAAATTTAAACTTTGTGAGAGAATTCTTTAACTTTTTCAAAGAGAATTCTTCAGCTTTTTCAAAGGCCTTTTGATCTTCTGACTCGTTTCTCATAAATAGCCTGACACAGAGGTTTATAATCTAGACTTGAAGCAGCTTCCTTAAAATTTAGTTTGATATAAGACTGTACTGGATTCATCAGACAGAATCGGCAATTTCAAAAGTCAATTGAGTTGACTGGCAGGCCTAGAGACGACGCGCTCCATACATTCAAGGCCAAGGTTACATATAGAGAACTTCCTATATCATGTCAAATTATCAAATATAATGCAGATTGCATCCTTGTGTTTGTTCAAATGCTTGGCCTATTTTGTTGTAATAAGAGTTATTTGTTTGTTTATCTGCTCGTTTGAATCAGCTAAGTAGTTGCCAGCTGTTATCATTACCCAAGCAGAAAATAGAGATTTCTCGTTCATCTTATTTAGCTCCATCTGCATTGACTTTTTTCTACATTGTATTTCTATCATAACAAAACGTCGTTCACATTATTTTTAGTTATCTGTCAATCTAGAAGTATCATCTATGTTGACAGTATCTGAAGTCAGAGTTTACAAGGATCACGGCTTGTGAATTATATGACATGCGCGCGGTGAATGCATTTGAAATCTAGATACAGCTTCTGATCCAACTTCTACGCGCGGTGAATGCATTTGAAATCTAGATACAGCTTCTGATCCAATGTCTACGCGCGGTGAATACATTTGAAATCTAGATACAGCTTCTGATCCAACGTCTACGCGCGGTGAATACATTTGAAATCTAGATACAGCTTCTGATCCAACGTCTACGCGCGGTGACTGCATTTGAAATCTAGATACAGCTTCTGATCCAACGTCTACGCGCGGCGAATGCATTTGAAATCTAGATACAGCTTCTGATCCAACGTCTACGCGCGGTGAATGCATTTGAAATCTAGATACAGCTTCTGATCCAACGTCTACGCGCGGTGAATGCATTTGAAATCTGGATACAGCTTCTGATCCAACATCTGAGGTTATTATTATTAAAATTAAGAAGCTTAGGCCTTCGTAATTCGAACTTTTTGAATATTTATCCAGTGAGATTTCTCTTGTCTTCCATTACAGGTGTCTCAAGTGGATCGCATGACCTGGAAGCCCCTTGATCCTCCAGCATTTTTATCATGTGATGAATACGCCACTCGAGACGCTTTATCTGAACATGACTTCTGTAAAATTCTTACCGGGATTATTTTGTAGAAAAAAGCAGATAATGTCAAGATTACCGTCTGGTATTACTTGTGATCCAGCCGTACGTAAGAAATTCGCTCAAGAAATTTAAATTCGCTCAAGAAAAGAATTTTTAAACACTGAGCTGCTGCTTTTTTAAAAAGTTCAAGCTTCCTTATGTATGGTGTCCGTGCACCATCATTTGTTTACCATATAGATATGTGGGAAAATATTAAGGGGTCCTCCTTGGATTTTGGATAAGTTGTGGCCTCAACTAGCTGCACAATGCGTTTTTAATGCATTTAAAAAAACTTGCAAGCAATGCACTCACTTGTAACCAATTTCTTGATGACGTCATTTCATCAAAATTTCTCAAAATACGAAAAAATTCAAGAAGGCTGCAAATTCTCGAAACTACCAGCTGAATCATTGTCGTGTTTTTGTTCCTATATCTATTTTCTTAAATCACGATTCAATAGTTTTGTTTCTAGTAGGGTAGTATCCAATTTTGCACTGCAAACAGCCCTTAAAGCCCCAACAAAAAATATAATTTATATGAAAAGTTTTTTTATTCCGTTTTTAAATCTTTTCTAAATAAATTAAAGTAACCCAAAGGATTGTTCCACCCTGACATTAGAAGTTGTTGTTGTTGGTTTAGTTTATCGATGTGAAATATATTTAAACACCAATTTAAAATCAGTCGGAAGTCGTAATTGCTCAAGACTCAATCAATTTTCGTTACTTTTTTCATTCTTTCTGAAAAAGTATTGATGTGTAAATTGCTGGTGTTAAAAGATTTCATTAGCCCAATAACCAGCCCGTTATTCTAAAAGAGTTAATAGTATACTAGGCACTCATTCCTTTAGAATTGTGGGCTGGTTATCAGGTTAAGATTTTATGGGTTCAATTAAGATATTTCCAGGGAAATCGGTGGAAATGGAATGTTTTCAGCAGATATCGAGAGATACTTTGAAAAACATTTCTAGAAAACATAGATCTAAGATTTTATCGATATTTCTGCGTTTTTAGCACTAAAACATTACAGATTGCTATTAGTGTGCCTAACAACACAAATAATCCAAAAACAGTACAATATATAGAGAAATGATAATGTGTGACAAAGACCAATACTAACTAAAATTTGGTCATGGTTTGCGAAACTTCCTTAAATTTATTATTTTTCATGATTTTCTTCTCTAAAAAATAATACCTTCGCTTTATGTTTAGATTTTCGTTTCTTTTCGCTTTATGTTATTATGTTACAGTAGATTCCGGTTATAGTTACACAAAAAATTGCTTGAAAATTAATGACAGTAAGCGGAGTGTGACTACAAAGGGAGCTAAATTGAACAATTTTGCATCTTTGGGTCTAAATTCTATGCGTCTGTAACTGGCAGCGTGGCATGAAGCAGAGTACTATAATCGGATTCGTTCACATTTATCAAGGCATGTTATGTTTCTTTATCAAAAGCACAATTGTGAGACGGGATTGATAAACGAGCATTTTCTATAGAAATATATATTTATTCATAAGTTGTACTCTTGATGGTTTTCCTTTTCTATTCTTGTTGCGTAGAATTTCATAGTCAGAACAAGTAAAGTCATTTGTACCGTCCCGTTGTTGTTGCTGCGATTGCTTCCGCAATTTCGTGTTTTTGATGCATATTTCATGATCCCCGACCACATATAATCTTTAGAAGGTTGTCATTGGATTGGAAACAACTTCATTTCCACCACCAGCAAATGATTTAAGATTTTCACCAGCGTGTTTACTTTCTAAATGCTGAAGCTGACAAAGGAAGACGAAGAAAGTCAGAAACGTCACGAGGGCTGAAGTCCGCCATTATTGCATGCAAGGCACCTTGCCAAAACAAGTCGTTAAAAACGTTCAAAACTGTGATCTGTGAGAGCTTGTCTACAAGATGAGTAAATCTCTGGTAGCTCTTACTTTCTTTGGTTAGTATTTTTACCATTTATCTTGATAAATCTTTACTTTGGATTCTGTCTCACAGAACAGAATGAGTTTTCCACATTTTGGAGTGTCGTAGTTCCATAGTGAGAGTAAGGCCTAATTTTGCATTTCCCTTTTTTTCAATTTTACTTTGGCTAAGGTATGTATCGGTGTGCTAAGCTCTTGAATTTGTATTATTATTCTACGTAATTTTACATATCTGATGAGACTGATGTGGCGTCCAAAACGTCAGGAATTTCACAAACTTACAAATTCACGTCGAAATACTCCCAGTATACGCAAATAAAAACACAATCAATTAAGAATATAATTCGCGGAAGTTTGTCGAGGATTTTGACAATCTTTAGAGCCACCATGGCAACGTAGTAAGAAATGACGCAGTTATAAACAAAATAATGCAATAAGAGAATAAAATGTCAAAGAAAAAAGAATGAGCTGTTGTGAAAATATTTACTGAAAATGTTCCTTCAACAAAAGAAATTTCCAAAATTGTTGGATGTCATTTTATACTGTTTTAAGAATTGTAAAGAAATATCCACAAATCAAGGAGAAGTAGCTGAAAAGAAAATAATGGAACATAGGGATGAGCGATGCTTATTAGAATAGTGAAATGTCTCAAATTTGACAAATCAATTGTCATAGCAGACAAGTTAAACCAATCCTGCCTGATGAACAATGAACATGTGAAATACATTTTATATAATGGTATTTGCAGCTATGAAAGAAAAAAGTCACTTTTTTCTTTGGAAAGCAACATAAAATCATATCTAGTGGGCCAGAGGTCTGAAATGCTAGCAAATCAAGGCCCAAGAAAATGGTACTTTATCAGATAATACCTGTTGGTTTTCCTTAAATAGCGACAGCAAAATAATGAGAGTTTGGAGAACAGCAAGTTAAGACTATAATCCTCAATTTTTCCTAAATTATCCAGTTTGATTGCAGTCATGTTTTGTCGTTTGATTGGGTCTTAAGGGGTAGGTAATCTGTTCCCCTTGATGGACGAGGTAATGCAGATAAGTATGTTACAATACTGCAAGACAAACCCCAAAATAAAATTAATGCTGGGAAAATTTCCAGGCATTCATTTTCTAATAAAAATAGTCACCCATGTATCTGCAAGTTCAGTGTCCTAACTTGGCCTTTACAAAGCCTTTAGACCTTAAGATTATTGAAAATATTATGGAGCAAATGAAAACTAAATGTTTGCTGAAGATAATTCTGTTTTTTTAACTGAAAAATTTGTGTAGTTCACCCAAGAAATTCCTGCCAAAAGTTTATCTGCACTTTGCATTCCATTGAAACCAAGTGCAAACTTTGGTTTTATTTCTTCAATTGAGTCTCCATTTCTCAAAAGATGACAAAAAAATTGTACTTCAGATGGAAAATGAATGCACTTTAAAACACTATAATTTTTGATTCTCTAAAGATTTATTGTGCATCTATGCCTAAAGATCACAATCAAGTGCACCTGGGGTCCAATTGAAATTTACCATTTTCTGACGCATACAGGTAAACTGGATTCTCCTTTTGCAATGTTTTTTGTTCTCATATGTTACATGAAGGGCTGCGGGCTCAGCCAGTAGCGACGCCACAAGGGGGACATGTCACCCCCAGTTCTCAGCAGAATCGATTTTGTATTTCGTCTAAATTCGATGATAAAATGTTGGGGGAGGGGTGATTTTTTGACACCGTACTTTTTGTGATGTAATCCTATGATTTTCGAACTGCCAATTTTCAAACAAAAGTTAGTCATAGGCGCTCCCTTCAGATAAAATTGGCGTTCCCTGTTGGTAAAAGGGTGTTTTCTGGTGGTTGAAAGGGCATGGCTTAAGTTTTTTGGTTTGTCCCCCCACCCCCCCCGGCGCTTAGTGGCTGGCACCGCCATCACGCTCAGCATTGCATTGAAATTTCTTCTTGTTCTTTTTGTTGACATATCTATTTTATTTCCACAATAGCAATATTCTTGTTAGTGGAAGGGGATGGCAGCGACAAGAGTACTGAAGACTGTCAAGCTTTTAATACACTTGGTGATAAAATTGAAGCTTTAGCTAAATCCTACAAATTGGCAGACTCATGTACAACCTTCTCTAATTGTTCAGGTAAGATTACGATTTGGCAGATATTCCCAGATGGTCTCTAAACAGATATTAGATGTAACTACGATAGAAGTTTAGAACTTTGCTTTTCAAGTTTCGTTTAAATATTTTCATTTCAATTAAATAACACAGTTAAAAAATTATCTTTTACATTTTTAGATTGCAACCGGCTAGCCAGGGCTTAAGACTATAGGAATAATGAAAATGCAAAAGAAAAAACTTACATAAAAATCATTATTGAATTATTGATTAGGATGCTATCCTTGTTTTTCCATGGCTTACTGTTGCAAACAATATTCATGCTTTTTATTATGCTGTAGAACTTGAAGGACTTATGCCACCTAATTTGGTGCCAAATTGTTCTCTCTTGATGCTTGAAGGTAAAAGCTATCTAAGCATGTCTGCAAAATATTGCCATGATCTGGGGTTTGTAAGACCCCAAAACAGCTATTTAAATTTTGGCAGGAAACATAGCATGTGATACTGTGACATAGAAGTTGACAACCTCAGCATTGAAAGCATTGCACTTAGACCAATTGCTGAATGGGGAGCATTGTCCCCCGAGAATTATTGAATAATGATAATCTGGGTTAGTTTTGGGTGTAGATTTTGAATCTTGATGTTGATCGGGCATGCGCAGAGGTGTAACCAAGCTATAGGGGGTCAAAGGAGAAGTTTCATGTGTCACTGTATAAATCATTTTTGCAAGCAAATCCAATGTATTTTTATGGGATGACAAAAAATATTTATTTTCGATTTTGGGGGGGGGGGCATAGGGATATTTTGTGACATCTTACAGTTGGCTTACTGGCAAGGTGGCTCTCGGAAGTCTTTCATTTAGGAACTTTTTTATCAAAACAGGTTGATTGTTTTGTTACTAGTTATTAAGTCATTCAGAGTAAAGAAATCTTTGTAAGTTAGGGAATCATACCTTATTGTGCTGCCTACCAATGCACCCAGACAGTAAGGGCTTCAGCACTGTCGGAGTGGAAAAATTTAATTTACCACAAATTTTCCATGGAATGCAGATGGTAGGGATCATGCAAGTAAAACGTGAAAAAGATCTTCAACAGAGAAAATTATTGATATCCAATTGTGGAAATGATAGAAAGCATGGGGGCCAAGGCTTTCCTGTCGGAAAATTCAGGGTTTTGGTGAATATTTGACAAGTGTTCAATGTGTCAGAAGCCCACCAAGATGTTGAGGAAATGAGTGTAATCTCAAAAAAGTGGCTGCCCTATGAAATATGTACTTTCTTAGTAAATAACTTAAAGTGAGTTGAAAATGAAGGGATTTAACTTATGACTAAAGGAAAAAGATAAACTTATATCATTGTTATAGCGGGTGTGGTGGTAGTCGAATATTTAATCATTTAGCGGGTAGGCAATTCTACTTCTCTTTGGCTGAATAAAACAAACTTCCATAAAAAAATTTCTATTCTCAGGTTTCACTAACTGTATGCTGAAGCCATAAGATGATAAAAACAAAGCAAAAAACAAAAATTGCTCAAGCAACCTTCCAACCCTAGCTAAATTTCAATCGATCAAGGATGAAGGACAGAGAGTAGAAAGCTGCAAATAATATTCATAAATCCAACTTTTTCCTTTATTTTAAGAGTAAAAAACTTCCCATTCAGTTTCTTCATTCCCTTTGCTCTAACTTGATCCCGTTTTCCAAACTACTACGTCCATCCTCTTCCTCTGATGAATTTGTTCTTAAATTATTTTATTTGCCACATTTTCTGTTTGTTAAACATGGTTCAAATCTGTAATGTACGACATCCCACAACAATATCCCGAGACAAAATCTATTTCAAAATTATGTATTTTTGCAAAATAAATCAACTTTTTGTGTGCGAGTAGGTTTTTGTATGCATTTCAAGTGTGGGCCTGTGTCCGCTTGTCAACTTCTATTTCATGCGGTCACGTGATACTTTTGTAAATTTGCATCTATGGCCCCCTCCAAATGAATTTTTTTGTCGGAAAACTTGAAATGCTTAATTTTGACCTATTTTCTACCGAACTCATCAATAAAATTACAGGGTAAAATAGGTGGCATAAGTCCTTCAAACTTAGAAAGATTCAAACTCTGTTTTGAACCATAGGAAAACAAAAAGCAATTACCAGTGAATTTGTTTAATTTAATAAATATCCAAATGTTCAATTAGTTTTTGTCATTTGTTATTGATTCTTTTATTCAAGGTGCTTTTTCAAATATTTTACTAATTTTCTGTGGCAGAGTAACATTGAACTATTTTTGTTTCTTCAGAAAATTCTCAGTATCGCCTTTCTAATGTTATTGTTTTATTTTTTCTTCTTTATTACTAATTAACCCACAGCTGTAATGAACCCACAGCTGTCTTTGCATATTCAAACTGCCAAAGACTACAAAGAGACCCTAATATGAGGACCCAAATCTTGAAAAAATGTTTGAATTTCTTTGTATGAAGAATGAGTACATATGTTCTCTCTAGGAATTAAATGCACTGGGGGAATCTTCGGCAGATCTTTCAGAGTTTCTGTGGGAATGGAACATTGTGAAAAGCCAGTGAGATTATGGATGCACCTTTCAGTACAAAGTATGAATATTGATGAATGGAGAGAGCTAAAAGATGGCATAAGAACTGATATTTTTAAGGATAAAACTTTGCCAGCTATCCTGCCGGTGACAGCATCTGCATATGTCATTCCAAACTTTGAGAGGACTGGAAACAACATCACTTTAAGTGTAAGTGACTTTTGGTTTACTCATTAAGCAAGATAGCATGATATTGCATAAAAAGCCTTTCAATAGGCAACAACTAGCAGATTAACAGATTTATCTAAATATTTTTTTAGCTAAAAAGGGCAGATTTTTTGAAAGGAAATCCAAAGGCTCTGTATAGATTGCAGCTAAAAAATTAAATATTTCTCATTCAACTGTTAAGCTGTGTTATGAAATGTTTAAATGTTGGTTTCCTTCTCAATCAAACTTTCTCTTGGACTATGATTGGAAGTTATGAATTGCATCTCCTGCCCTGCTAAATATTGCTGTTATAAATCTTTTTACTAATTTTTCATAAAGTAAAGCATTATCTTTCATCAAAGTTTTTGTTATGGTTCCAGTTTTGTCATTTTAGCATTCTAGCTCTGCTTAGAGTGATTAATTGATTGATGTATAGTGTCTTCCTTTTGTGTTTCAGGGAGATATGTGTGTTTCATCTGCTTTGCTGGGATCAAAGTGTCAGACTATCCCAAAAGTGTCTTTACCAGTTTCAAGAGCCATGTGTGATCAAAAAGGTAACTCTCTCATTATTTTAAATGACTGTCTCAGCATCTGTCTGTCTAATTTGAAGCCATGTTAATAATTGATTATATAGTGATTTAAGTAAAGAGCCTTATGGATTATTTTCATGAAGGCAAATTTCTTGATTAAATAAAAAGCTTAATCAGTTTTAATTCATAAATTGAGTTTTTTCCCAACATTCTTCAGAATGCACATCCACAGATGGTTATTGAAAATTGAAGAAGTTTGTATCCACACATGTATCTGAATAGGTTTATATGTACTAGGATAAGCATCCAGGATCAACTTTTCAACTTGCATCTTAAAGAATGACAGTATTGTGCATCTGTAAAGTTTGAAGTTCTGTGTTGGGTGGAAAGGAAGGAATTTCTTATTGCAAACATCTGCCCATTAGTTGCTTTCCTTAAAATTAGATCTTGATATAAATTTATGTTATTAAATTTTTATTTTCCGGTCAAGTGTTCAAGCTTTTATTTATACATGTGTAATTCAAGATTATCCCTGAGCAATAAATAGTTAGCCTATGAAATTAGCAATTAGCCTAGCCTCAATGTAATTTTCAAAGCTTGCTTTATTGTGTCTGAATCTAGGAGGAGTCGTAACGCCAACAGTGCGAACCCCAAAACCTGTAACTAGGCAGTCAAGTAATACAACAGCAACAAAAGCTCCAAAGCCTGCAGAACACAGCACAAAGAAGCTTGACGCACTTTCAAGAAGTTCAACTGAACAAATTACAACTTTTTCAAAAGGGAACACAAAGAAAGAACAAAGCTCATATCCTACCAAAGTTTTACAAAGCTCAACACCAAAGAAATCACATGCCAAGGTCCATGGGAGAAAGCATAGCTCAGGTATATATTACATAAGACGATACTCAATTAATTCTCCTACCCAGGTTATAAACTCTTTCAAACACAGGTTCCACTGCCTGCATATGGCAAACAAACAGGGAAAAGTGGCAATTTATATTGTTCAGATATTGATGGAAAGTAGTGAGTAAGGAAAGGCTTTAATCACCTTTTCAAACCAAAATTCGTAACCACACCCCTTTACTTATAAAACTTACAAAAAATGGTACGCTCATTTTCTGTCAGAAGCACAGTTTCAAAGTTCTTAGGCGTTTTCTAAAATTTGGTTGCATTTTGCTTGGAAGAATTTCGATATATATCCATGCCTCCAAAGTATCATTTTCTGTCTTGAGTAAATAAATGTCACATGAGAACCTGGTCATAAGCACCTGTGCTCACATATTTTCAAACCAAGCTTTCAGTTTTCACTATTGCATGTTGCATAAGTCTTTTGATTCTCTAAATCCATCATTCAATGTTTCACTTTCAGTAAAATATTACCCAGTGTTCCTCATACAGCTTTCTCGTATATCAAAAAGCGCTTTTCGATTCTCGCTATTTCCGTTTCGTTGAAATGGTCATAGGACCATTGTGTACCATTTCATTATCTTTGCAGCACAGTCTTATAATGTAATTTATGTTTTGATTTATGTATTTTTACATATTGATTGACTTTATGGTCTTGTATAATCATCTTTATAGTAAACGATTAAGGATTTAGTGAAGCTTCAGCGTAAGTTGATGTTCATTTTGCTTCAGGTGCAAGCGGGATCTCAACAGGAACAAAAGTTGCAATCGTGTCTTCGGTGATTCTGGCTATTCTTTTGCTAATTGGCCTGTTTGCTTATTGGCGCAAACTGAAGAAAAAGCGCCCCGCCTATTACAACGACATCACCATAAATGCAGGGGACGAAGAACCCTTTATGGATAGCCACTTGGTGTTATAAATCGTCACAGAAGCACAGCTGTTAACAACCCTGGTTTACCTTTTTTCTTGTTTACAGTTTATTCAATCACGGGCAGCTAACGCGGGTTTTTAGTGCAATGAACAATGCAGCCCTTTTGTAAATAAACGAAATTTTTCCTCGAATGAAACTCTCATTTGCTCATTATGCAAAAGTGGGTTTCTCTTTATTTCAAGTTGTGATTAACTGAATTTCTTATAAAAATGTTTCCCCCACTTTAAGAAATTGGATGCTTAAAAGTGAGTTTTTTACTGCACCTGCACATATGCCTGTTTTAGAAACAGTTGCCAGTTAGACTGTGCTAAATGCTTGGGACGATTTTGTTATACGATACGATATTTATCATTATCTCTTAATAAATAATTTTGGTTTTGTTGCATATTTATGTAGCGAGGTTATTATAAATGCAAGTTAAGTTCTTTGTTTTTTCGAGTTGCGTTTTAGAATATTTTGACTTTTAAGAATCTTATTTGTATAAGAAACGAATACTGGACAGTCAGAAAAAATTAAGAAACTTCAGTACTCGAAGCAAAAGAATTAAGAAATTATTAAATCGTGATAAAACTGAGAACAACGAAATTTCGTAAAATCCAAGAACATGATGGCCTAGAAATTAAGACAAAAGGAACAAAAATATACTTCCCACGTCTAAATACAGTGTCAGAACGGAAGCGAATCCCTTGACATGCACAAAAAGGTCACGAACATTTCATAACATTATTCATGACATCATAGTTTAGAGACTCTTAAAAACAGTGAGTATTGAAATTTCCAGAACATTAAGAAACTGGAGTACTCAACATCGATCTGTGTTTCTTATAAAAAAAGTGAGTGTAAGCCGCAATTGCCACTAAATCACTTTACCCGTTGAGGGAAATATTAGCTCAGCTGTTTTTTTGGGGCGAGGGGGCTTAATTGTTTGAGATTTTATGTTATATGGGTGGATATAACGTTGGGGCCGGGGGCACCAGGGGCACGTACTACCAAACTTGTTGAAAAATGCCTCTTTTCTTAGAAGAGCCCTCTTTAGAATTGTTTGAGAAGTGCCCCTTTTTCTGAGACGAAATGCCCCTTCGTGCTTTTGCCCCTGTTTTTCAATGCTTCCAATATTCCTGAGCAAGCTCACTGTGCAAATAGCATGTAGCTCAAGGAGAATTCAAGGTTGAAGTAAAAGTTAGAATTAAGCACCTACGTGTCTCAACGCACAATTCACATGAAAATAATGTTCATGATAATAAATATTTGAGTATTTGTTAAGACAGAAACAAACGACGATTGGCGTCAGAAACACAACTTCTCAGAAATTCAATTTCGTGTTATCTCTCAAGATAGCAAATAATAAACATCACGAGATGTTGTAGCGCAGACCTGCTTTATTTATGCTCGCGGGAGCACCTCTTTTCAAACATTAATCTCATACTGGTTGCATGTTCCAGTTATGTCAGTTGTTTTGAAGTAATCTAGTAATCTAGATTATTCTAGATTATTTGGTAATCTAGAGATATGATGACACCATATTTTGCGTTCGTTTTCTGAGGTTAAATTCCTTCAATGCATTGTGTTAGCATCTTTTAAAATACCTCGAATGAAATGCTAAGCAAACTTGTAAGCATGTGTATTAGCCTCTTCAACTAAGCGTCGTTCTGATGTAGAAATATTCCCATCTACAAGGGTGAGATGTCAGATGGAGGTCACCTGTATTGGATTAGGTAATGGCTGTTAGATGAGAAGAAGCCAATCTCCTCTGCCAAGTTTTGTAAAACCAAAGCTCTTATATTTTGCAAAGTCTTTGTAACGAGTCTGTAATTTTCCTTCTACGTTCACACTGGCGTTTGACTCCCTAGATCGTTACTTTCTCCAACCTCCCCACATCGACAAACCGCAATGGCGTAACGGAATAAAGTTAACATTAGTTCAAAAACTACGGACCACCGTCCTTTAAGGGCCCCCAGCAAAAATCTGCTATTATTCTTTTCATATCATCATTTCATATATTACTGTTTTTTGCCGAAAAAGCGTTTATAAAATGGCCATTGAGTTGAATTGTTTTTCAACCGCATTTTCGGAGCACTTCGGCTCGACGTCATGAAGCTTTTCGGCTTCCTTCTTTTTCCTGCCTACTACATCTACAGTTTTGTTTGGAAAACATGGTCGACAGGTCATTTCCCAGAACTTGTAATTTTCATTTTCCTTCTTTGAGTCGTATTATAAGATAGTGGGGATAAATTTAATAAAGCTTTTATTAGATGTTTCATACCACAAAGACTTGGTTCATCTCTATTCAAGGAATGCAATTCGGGCTTGGTTTAGACTTTTTCAAAAACCAATGATTTATTAGTAGAAAATTTCTATACCCACGACTCTTATTTCATTTTCTCGGGAGTCTGTGGCGCTAGGAAAAGCATTCGAGTCCCATGCTTTTAAGAAAACATCTGATGCTTTTAATCGAGTGGCGAATCACTATTGCACAATGCGTACGAGATTTCTACCAAAACAAAAGGATAAACAGGGATTTTCAGATTAAACAATAAGATTTCGATCATCTGAATACGAGATTTATACGGAGAAATTTGCCCGTCGCTTTGGATCTTCGGCTGCCCTATGTCGAAATGTCGCATGTTTTTACAGATTATCCATAGCTCTCAGTTGAAAATAAAATAACACCTGTTTCCACCTTTTCCAAGATTTTTGAACGAAAACTTTTGTGTCACAGGTACTGGACAAACCTTACTCAAAAAACTTGAGTTCCAAGAATTTGATAATTGTTTTTTGAATGAACCGAAAACGACAATATTTAGTACTTTTCCAAATATAAACAAAACCGAAATGGGCCTTGGCTTCTCGACGAAAGTGAAAGCAATTCGCTAAATTCTATTGTTAGAGTGGAATAGATCGTTTAGCAACATTGTATGTGTAGCGAAATTCTTTTGTAGAAATTCGCAGCAATTGCGATCAGTTATCTTGAGAGCGAGCCACAGAAGTTGCGAGCCACAGCGATGTTTCTACCGTGCTTGATTTTGTCTGTGTGGTTTTTCATATACGGTAAGTACAGCGAAACTTAATTTACATAAATGGCCATTTTGGTTGACATCAGCTTGATTAAATGAAATTTAATCACGTTTAATATGTGACAGGGTACGCCTTTTAGGTGCCCCTTGGGCTTTTGTTTCGGACACAGATTGCACGATTGTGGAGTTTGTGTTTATTGTAGCAGTGATCGAGTAAGCTTTACATTGTGTCTTTAATACGGCTATAGCACCAAGCGTGCAAGTGTGCATTGGCCTTTGGTATATAAACTTTGTCTTAGCACAGTTTCATTCTCACACGTTGCACGACAACTCGAAGTTGGACTTTGGAGAGGAAGGGTTTTTCCTTTGCGACCCTGCCCACCCAACCCATGTCTAGATATCTTCAGGGGTTTTTCTTCACATGCATTTTGACTTCTTTTTTTCTTCGTGCATTAGTTAATGGCCGTATGGCTTGCGACTTTTTGCATGAACAAGGTGCTGTTAGTCGGCGGAAGAAGGCTATTGTTCTTCTTCTCCACCCCCTCAAAAACGGTTGGGGTTTTATTTATGGCCGTCTTTGCGATTGGCGCACCGACAGCCCAAAAATAAATGATTCAAATGATGAGAGAACACCACCTTCAGTCTTATGATTGAAAATGGTAAAACATTCTGAGGACCATCTTACCCTTATATGCTAATGGTTTTTGTTTAGTAACCTGGAACAAATATTAAATCGAGATTGCTTCTCGCTATCTACTGACTTTTTTTCAAAATTGGACCGCCGATTTGAAATGGCCTATGTTGAAAAATACACGTTGTTTTGACAGTCAGGTCGCGAAAAACCACTTTTTGATATTTGGATACTTTTGAAGATTTGAAATGCTTTGTAGTTCTCTTTTGATGATTTGTAGGTAGTTTCATAGCATCCGCTACACCCATGGGTAGTTATACTTTATACTGGAGTTGCTTTTTGGAATGGAAACCGTTATAAAGCTTTCAATATTAACTGATGCGATGTTCTTGGAACTACAGCACCTGAGGGCAGAAACGCTGAGCCGCGAAATTTAGTTGTTTGTTGCGACAAAGATAGTTATTCTTTGTTTACTTGTTTTTTGGATTTGAAATTGCTTTGATTGGAAATAGAAATACACTTTTACCAATCAAAAACTTTATTGCCACTATATCCGTTTCTTAAATCACATTATGCCACAAAGGATTGATTTCTTTGCCAAAAGCCGTTGACTTTGTAATGAGGTTGAGGCAGCCTTTCCACTAGCCTGGGTTAAAACAAAAACGGGTTAAAAGTTATCCGTTTCTGCGTCGCGTATATTATATATAGATATGCAGAAAAAAACAATATCGCACAAACACTATCGACCGAAGTCTTCATCAGTAATCATATATTTATATCCGAAACAAAAGAAACTAAAACTGACTTGGCTTCGGAGATTCCTCGCTCATTTCATTGGGCCGTTTGGCTCAGTGGAATGAGCGTGGGTTCTTGAAGCAGCAAACTGGAGTTCGATTCCAACCAAGAGTGGCTCGATACAATTGGGCGGCACCTATGGGGCGCCAAATGGGCCAAAATTTCAAGACTGGACAGAATCTTGTGAAGACCCTAAAATATCATCAAGAGTTGGATATATAATCAAGATTAGAATATATCTCTCTTTACAACAAAAATTATTCACAAGATAGCATATATTCATTTTTCATGACATTTCTAGTATCTTTACCAGAATATTTGCACAACTTCTTGATGAGATTTTCGCTGATCGCTTGATGAGATTTTCAAACTGAATTTTGTCCCAATCGGCATGGTCCGCAAATTGTGAGCCCGCAACATGCAAACGAGGCCTTTACTCAAACGAAACCCAAATATGGCGTTGGTGTTGCCAGAGATCGTGGGTGCGATGCAATCTGGTGCGTTTTTGTTTGAAGACCTGAAAAGGTTTCGTTTCGGTAACCAGTGGTGGATTTAAGGGGGGGGGGCAACTAGGGGCAGTTGCCCCTCCCTCAACGAGTTGAAGCAAGTCTGGCGCCCCTTTTTTAGAAATTGTGCGCCTTTTTAGAAGAATGAGAATCAGATGAAAAAGGTTCTTGTACCGGTAGATTAATTTGCTTCAAGGATTGCCTCAAAGTCATGCTGTTTTTTCTGAAATTTGCACATAGCAAAAGTAGTACATGTTCTCTAATTTAGTTACAGACACCTGTGTTTTTGTGTGCATTAGATAAGCCTTTGAAAAAATCTCGTGTGTGCATATGCTACACTCTGCAGACTGGTCTGGCACAAAGTTCTTCACCGTTTCCACATGGTTCATGCCTATAAAAATGCTACAGAGGATCACGATGAACTCTTCGACTTTAGCTTTAGCAGTAAATCATACGTTAAATCGTCGTTACAGAAACGAAACCTTTTCAGGTCTTCAAACAAAAACGCACCAGATTGCATCGCACCCACGATCTCTGGCAACACCAACGCCATCTTTGGGTGTCGTTTGAGTAAAGGCCTCGTTTGCATGTTGCGGGCTCACAATTTGCGGACCATGCCGATTGGGACAAAATTCAGTTTGAAAATCTCATCAAGCGATCAGCGAAAATCTCATCAAGAAGTTGTGCAAATATTCTGGTAAAGATACTAGAAATGTCTTGAAGAAATGAATATATGCTATCTTGTGAAGAATTTTTGTTGTAAAGAGAGATATATCCAACTCTTGATGATATTTTGAAGTCTTCATAAGATTCTATCTCGTCTTAAAATTTTTGGCCCATTTGGCACCCCATAAGCACCCTTGTGGAAAGAATTTTCCTCCTGTCAGCATTTGCCTTATGATTATATATGTATATATATATATCTATATATAGCATAGAGTTGGAGGAAATAAAACTACATGTTTTATCTCTACAAGCCTGTTTCGTGAATAACTCACTCTTCAGGAGATGTTGATACACTGAGATATTCCTCGTACAAATACAGAAGTCGGTACAGAAAATGTTACATAATGTGTGAGGCTATACAAAAGGTAAAATAAAGATGGTACATAAAAATGTTTAGGTGTTACATAATAGTGTTTTATTTCTATGGCGGCAAGAAGATAAGAGTTCGTTGCTTTTGTTGAGTGTCGATAATTCAGGGTGGCAGATGAGGGTCTTTTCTTTAAGGCAAAGGTTGCATATTTTGCTTGAATTGTTATAAGATGACTTTGTTGAGAGAATGCGCCAGGAAATGGAGTGGTCGATTTTGTTGTCTTTTAGAGTCCGGATGTATTTGCTGAGTTCTGTGGAGTTTCTGTGCTTTGTGTGACGGAATGATGCTGTGTAATTTCTGTATCTTGTCTGAATTCGGTTTCTGTAAGGCCCGGTTCAAACGTCGCGCTTCTCATGTGCCGAACCTAACTCAAGAATTAAGTACATGAAGGGCGCGACGTTTGAATCAATTTGGTACGGCAGATTGAGTTAGGAGCGGCAGACAAGTTTGGACCGGCAGAGCTTGTCGAGCCGCACGACCCCAGCACGGCACAGTTTCAAGCGTCGAACTTGTCATGTACCGAACTTAATGCATAATTATATTTAATTCATTTTCCTTCCCAGAATTCATTTCTTTCCTGGAGGGCGCATGCGTTTCAAACAAATATTTGAGATTGTGCGCCTTAACCAAGATACTTCATGTAGCAATCCTAAAACCCATTTGGCGCGACATTATTAAGTTCGACGTTTGAAACGGGAGCCGCGCTAAACATGCTCAAGTGTCGCTCCAAACAGAGTTAGGTTCGGCACATGAGAAGTGTGACGTTTGAACCAGGCCTAAGTCCTATGTATGTTTCTGTAGTGTAGTTGTTTCTGCGTGTAACGGTGGCTTGGTGAATGACGGATGATTGTAGGCAGTTTCCATTGAGTGGACATGTGTTCTTTTGTCAGCAGTTGCATGTTTTGGTGACATTGGTGTTTTCCGGAGTGGTGTTGGTGTCGTGTGAGTTCAGGACGCGTTTGTTGTGACAATCAATGACTTGCTTGATGTTGTTATGCAGCTGTAGCTGATCTTTATTGTGTTGCGGTTGAATATTTTTCTGAGTTTGTGGTCTTTGTGGAAATGTTTGTCTATGAGGTTAAAGAATCTATGTCCGATGGCTGACTTTTGCTGAATGGGGGGTTATACCAAAGAATATTGTTCCGTTTTCTGTTTTTTTTCTTGTGGTGGTTGAAGTTGGTTCGTAGTGTAGAGTGACCTTGTATCCGCTTTCTTCGAGTGCTTTTTGGTATGGTGGCGTGGCTTGATCGAATGATGCTTTGTCAGATGAAAGTGATGATAGACGTTTGTTGATGCCGGTGGGTATATGTTTTGCTGGGGATATTGGGTGGTTGCTCTCGCGGTGGACGTACTGAAGGATGGTGTCTGGCTTTGTGTAGGGCTGGAAGGTACTTTTGCTCAGATTGAGGGTGACGTCTAGGAAGTTTATGATCTGTTTGTTGGCTTCCATCGTGATGCGTAGTGCGTTGCTGCTAAAAAATTGGCATATATTTTCTTTTTGATGTTTTCGGTGTCTCTTGGTGGTGGATTTGAAATGGCTAGTCCGTCGTCTCGGTATAGTCCTACGTTGATGTCGAGGTGTTGTAGTTGAGACAACAGGAAGCTCCCAACCAGCTCGCATGTTTCGGCACCGTTGTAGCTGCCCATTGTAACGTCGAACGTGGTGTTGTTTTTCTTTTTCCATGGTTGATTTTTGTGAACAAGGATGGTGTTCTTGGCATGAATGATGATGTTGCGTTCGTCAGTTGTGATATTGTCGGTTTTTCGTGTGATTTAGTCGAAATAAGCACAAGATAATTTGAATAAAGCAATATCGGAAATAGGTAAGAATACCGCTTACTTGTGCTTGCATGCCATCGATTCTGATGCCAGTGAAGAACGGAACAGCCAGCAGCAATCGCAAAACCAGAAAATTAGCAGCAGCGTATGTATGTAGCTACTACAACGAAAAGCAAGATCATCAAAAGCACGAAAGGAAATGAGAAACGGGGTTTCAATCGATCAAT